GTAGTAGTAGTAGTAGCAGCAGTAGTAGTAGTAGTAGTAGTAGTAGCAGAGTAGTAGTAGTAGTAGTAGTAGTAGTAGTAGTAGTAGTGGTAGTAGTAGTAGTAGTAGTAGTAGTAATAGTAATAATTGTAGAAATAATAATGATAGTAGTGATTGTTATTATAGTAATAGTAATAGTAATAACAATAGTAATATAAGAATAGCAATGAGAAGAAAAATAATAACAACAATAACAATGGCGTGTCGGGCTTCGGGCTTTTCGTGTTTTCCGTTTTTCGCGTCCACCTCTGCGCCTCCGCTTAGCTGAGCCACACAAAGCTTTCCACAGCCCAAGATAAAAGCTCTACCCTCGCTTGTGCTCGGTGGCTGATGTCTATCCCGGCGAGGAGCTTCGAGAGGAGTTTCCGGGCTGCAGGAGGCCCAGGCGGATTGAAGTGAAGAGGCTTGTTGCTGTTCAGCCTGTCGAATTTAAGCTTCAGAAATGGACATGCAGTGAAATGCAAGGTGCAAACTTAGAAATCCCAGCCGAAGCAGCAAACTGGTCAGTACAAAGCCCAGACAGAGAGCTTTGCCTTGCCTTGCGGCTTTTTCGAGTCTTCGATCTGTGAGCCTCCCGTCTGCCAGGACTCCGAGCTGCGGAACTTCTTCGAAAGTAGCGGCTTCATCAAACCCCGCCCGGCGCCTGCGGCAGGGATCTCGATTTTGTCGTGAGGGCGCCTGTCGGGAGCAAACATTGCACACTTCGGATCCAGGGAATCCAGGGCAGTGGAGGTGCGAGTGGAGCATCATCCTCTCCAGGCCACGCCATGATTAGCGTGTAGGTCGGCACAAGCAGCCATGCTCTCACAGTGCTGCTGCTCTGCCAGCTCCGGTGAACGGTGTGCAGTTCACCCTCCCCGAGGCTTTGCATTTGCAGGCCTTGACTCGACCTCGAGAAAAGGAAGACATTCTGCCTTCGGCTTCGCAGTGTGGTCGTGGCAGGAAAGATTGCTGACTGCCTTCAAGAGTGCAGACTTTCAGCAGAAGCGACGTGGCTGGCATTTTAATGGAAAGGCTGTGCATGGGTGCTTACCGAGGTTGCAGCGCTTGCAGCGACAATACCCTCAGCCATGAGCTGAGCTTCGTTGCTTTCCTTGCTGAGCTGCAAGGCAAGATTAGGATGTGCAGCACAACACACGAACTTCAATCGATATTCCTGCATGAAGGTTGCCTGGACTAGAAGGTTGCAAGGTATGGTGATCAAGGGCACGTCAGCGTTGTTGGCTACAAGCCCTATATATTATGTTCCATTTGCTGTTGTGCTCTGCTTGTACTCGCTTGCGGTCCAGGCGAAAGCTGAGAGGACATAATGTCCGAGCCTTACCTTTGAAAATTGTCCTATTACTTCGAGTCCGCTGGTCTGTGGGGTCAACCCGGAAGTGCTTGAAGAGAACTTGTGTTGCTCGAGCTTTTCGTCGTCGCTGATTTTGCATGCAAGGACGGAAAGGCATATTTCGAGGCGTTCGAGGCGTCGACAAGCTGCATTACATAAACCCGTGTGCGCCTCCGTCCGTCATGAAGGTGCTTGTCATGACCGTGCCAGCTTCCCATTTACTGGCCGAGCTTACATAATTGGGATTGGACAAACAAATTCTGCCCAAGGTATCACAGAATATTGCCGGCTCATGGATTGCAAGGCGACTGGGAGGGAGTTGGGGCCTCAGCTCGTTGTGTTGACAGGCAGGTGGGGCACCTGCAACCGTGCAGAACTTATCACGGGCGCTTGTGTCAGTGCCATTTCCCGGATGATTGAACTGGAGACGCAGACTTGTTTCTTTCAGAAGCATGACTGAGCTTCCGAATCAGCCTGCACAACACAATCCACCAAATCGGGTCTCGTACATCAGGGCAACCACTCTGGAGGTCGGAGAGATGTTCATGCGAATCGAGACTGCAATGCGCAATGGCAAGGCGGACTTGTTTCTGTGTGCCATTCAAACAAAGTCTCTAGAGGAAAGTCAGCGGCTGCAGGTCAAGAAACAGCACGAAGAGATCAACACTCTTCTAGGGCTGTCCATGGCTTTGGCCAGATGGTATCCTGAGCGCACACGCCTGGTGTCCATTCAACATGTGCCAAGGCCACGTGAAGCCAAGCTGGCTCCTTCGCGAAGACAGGACTGGTGTCGAGAAGCTCACTGCGATGAAGGAACAGCCCCGTTTTTCTGCAGGCTACTTTTAGCTTGCATCATGTCCTAAACTACAAGAGAGTTCGCACACTTTTTTGGGCGGTTCGTTTGTACTCGGAGTCAGCCAGGGTTTGACTCTTCGAGGCATCGTATCTTCGCCAGCAATAGCCAGCCTCCATGATAGTCTAGGCCATGTCGCGAGGCTTCGTAAAAGGAGGATGGATGATTATTATGTGGGCAAGGAGAGTCGGAGAACCAGAAGCATGCAGCCATGCAGCCATTCTCAAGCCCAAAAGGAACGTTGGATGACCGTCCTCCGTGTTTGCACTTGAGAGCAGTTATCAGGACCTCTTCGTCTACTGCCCAGGCTGGCGGAAGCGGCAAGTGTGAATGCGGCAGCAACGAGCCAGTTTTCCATGGTTTTCCCATAACTGCGAGGAGCCGACGGAGGTGTGCCATCCTTCTCCCTGCATGTGGTCGAGGCTGGTGGCCTGTTGAAGTATGCCTCCAATGCGGTCTGCACAAGTCGGCATTGAGGACGAGGATCTCGACCAGGCCAGCTTTGGTTTCTTACGGGCTTGCCGACAACGTCTTGTTTTCCACAGAGGAGACACAGAGGTCTCTTCGCACACGATGTGAACAACTCGAGCATTTTGCGTGGCTGTGACACATGCTCAATACCCTCCGAACTTCTCTGTGGTGTTTGTCGGCGTGGGTGCGAGCCGGCAGCAACAATGTGGGACTCTCCCAGGGCAAGACGAGGCGGAGTCGAGCTGACGTGTGCCTGAACTTAAGCACATGCTGTTGGGCTGCACATGTTCAACTACTCCAGCTCCTCGGTCGGTCCAACACCCAAAGCCAGTAAGCAAAGAAGCACCTTTAAGAGTCGGATGTACTATGTGTGCATGTTTGCTTGGGTGGGAGTCAAATCAGAGAGGGCACAGAATGCGGCGCGATGGTACTTTTCCTTGGTTGCTGCAGTTTACAGAACCGGCTGGAACCATGCCGGGGTTCTGCGTTTTTGGCTGCCAAAGGCACACGAGTTTCTCGTGGAGGAGGAGCAGCGAAGTTTTGTCTCGAATGTCCTCGAAGACGACCTGTCTTGAGTGAACTGAGGAGGGTGAGCTTCGAGCTACGATCATGAGCACAAAGACCTGGTTATCGGCTCAGTATGCACCTCATGAGCCGACGGTCAAAATAACATCCAGTGTCATTTGTTGTGTCGGTAGGTATCTGGTGAGAGAACGTGCTCTGGTCCGATCCGCTGCTGATGTGAAGCCGTGAAGCTGAGATTTGCACTTGTAAGCTGGTGGTACGGCCGAGCAGGTGTGCATTTCTTACGACAGCTCAGCAGATGTGTGGAAGGTCAAGAGTTTTGGGGGAACGTGGTGTTGGACAGCGCATACTCGGTCACAAGATCCTACATGATGCAGCCGGCAGGCTCGGGTCGCTGACAGGCTAAGGCTTTTGAGTTTGCTGCTTCCATATGCTGCATAGGTGGCTACAACTTCACGAAAGTGAACTGCGAAAGCTGGGAAATGCCCCGGAGGTGGAGCTAGCAGATTTTCAGTCCAGTCATCGACAGAGCATCTTGCAGGCCTGGGTTCACTTTGGAGTGGGGCGCGAGCTTCTGGTGAAGCAGTAAGAATGAAAGCCAGCCAGCTTGGATTGATGATAAGACCGTGATGCTTTGGCAAAGCCAGGCTCGTTTTCCAGTGTGGGTACAAACATGCACCTTTGTGCCAGCTCCCTTTCACATGCGCTCACCTGGTCTCTGTTTGCTCTGGACGGCGAAATCTGTGGTCACGTCGAATGGACTTTGAGGAGTTTACCCGAAGCTTGTTTTTCGACAGAAAGCCTTAGGAATTTCAGCACCTCTCTTTGGCAGCCGTAGTCGTACCATGTTATTCGATTCAATGATCTTTCACGGGCTTCGGTGCAACTTATAAACAGCTGTTCTTTGCATGTGTGGCCCCGCATGGCCTTGGACGCGTGTATCGACGCAGCGTTTGGACCCCAGCATGTGGACCTGACTGAACATTGCCGTGCTGCATCGCTGGTGACCACCCAAATGAACTGAGCTGTCGACAAAAGGTTCTGCGAAGGCGCTGAGAACGCTTCCGTCTAAGCAGCCATGGACAGTAACGATCGGACCTTATTCTTGTTGAGACTGAGATAGATCCTGCCTGGTATGCACCTGTCAGCAAAAGGCCGTGATCCACGTGAGGGACAGCGGAGTACCTGCAAAGTTTTACTCAAGTGGTTGTCTGCGATGCAGACATGACGTTCCGCTTGGACCCTAGCCGCAGGCTTCATTTAGGACAGTGCTTGATGCTGATGGCTGAAGATGTCCAGTGAGGTTCCAGCATCTTTGCAGACAGGCTGGGTATCACGGAGCCAGACGGACGACAGATCAGTCAACCTGCCAGGCAGCACATCGCAAGCGACGACAGACACAGGTTGCGAGAAGCTTGCATGCTGCCGAAGAACAGTTCCTGTCGAGTTTTGGCAACTCCCTCCGTTCTGTCATGCAGGCTCGAAGCTGTCCAGAACCCAAAATGCACCCATCCCTGATCGTAGCCGTCTTCGCCTGATATGTGGACTGAGGGCAAATCGGTGTCAGCTTCGCAGGTCGCAGGCATCTGTGGCAGAGTTTGCTGTGCTGCGTCATTCTGGTGTAAGCCGTCTATTCCGCAAGCAGCCTACTGCTGGTTGATAAAGGTCCTAGGGCCCAATATTTTATTTTGGGTCCAGGTTTCTATTTCAGCTGCTCTTGGAAGGGTCTCCTGGATTTTATTCAAGAGTTCGGGGGGCGGGACATGTTAATATAGGCTGTGATTGGGTGGTCGTGATAAGTTATGTGTACAGGGTCGGTTCCTGGATTTTATTTCCACTCTTGGGTGATTGTATTTGCGAGGATAAGCCCGGAAGTCATTCGGGGTTTGGGGGGCATGGGAGAGGTGTCAGAAAAGGTACCTGATCCTTCGATGTCGGTTTATCCTATCATGAAGATGCAGAAATCCCAGAGTGTCGCATATTCACATGCCAAGGGGGCGTGAGCTGTGTTTGGGTATGGCAGTGTGCTCGCATCGCAGGGGCAAGAGGCCCAATGGAAGCTCGCACAAGCATTTGCGGACTGGAACGACCTGAAAGGTTGGTCACGTTTTCCGCCGTGAAGGATCTTAGATTCTGTGGGTTCGCTGAACCGAGAAAGATCTGGAGCATACAAGCATCTTTTTCGCCAAATGAAAGACCTGACACATTGATCAGCTTCCAGTCTGCTCGTGTAAAAACTATTGTGTATTGGCTTTCACCGTCCTGGCCCGGTGGCAAAGGCCGGCACAGAGGGCCAGACCTACTTGCTGCATCACGAAATTCCGCGTGACGAAGCATCGGCTCGGACAAGGCAACCGAACCAACGGCGCGTGGATATTACGTAAATGCATTCTCGGCATACAACTGAATCACACATGCTGCTCTCCATGCTTCCCGGATGTTGAAATGAAGTTTGGCGCGCCTGGATTTTATTCTGGTTCGTCCCTCGTTGTTGGGCCAGGTCCTCTTGGACTTCATCCAGGATTGCTTCTTCTCCCCAGTTTGCACCTCAGCAACCTTTAGGGTTGCTACATGTTACGAGGAATATCTACCAATTCTACCATGTTTCGAACGTCAGGAATCCGTGTCGCCTGCCAGGAATAAACACCAGAAGCACCGACCCCTGGGTCGGTACGCCTGGATCCTATTTTGGGCGTTTGTGGACCTACACCTCCCCGGCTGCTTTCCCTGGCTGCCCCGACACTTCCGAAGCCAGCAGCCACCGGCCGAAGCAAGATCAATTTCAGAGGCCCCAGATTTGATTCCCGGCTGCATCCCTGACTTTGCACAGCCTTGTCCCCAGGGCTGGCAAGTGTTGCTGGACTACTGTCTAGAATACTTCGAATGTCAAGAACAGCTGGACATGTTTGGGCGAATCTGTTGGGAATAAATACCACGGGTGCCGATCCCCGGGTCGGTGCGCTTGGATTTTATTCCGTAGCCGCTTCTTTCCACAAAGGCTCGCTCGTGTAAAATTCAGGGGCACCGACCTGGGAGTAGGGCCCACTTGGATTCAATTCAGGTGTGCTCTCTCACAGCCACTGCACTGCGCCCTTGCAGATCGGAAGCATTTAGGAGCTCCTTGCCGACCTCGCCATCTAGCGAACCTTTCCAAGCAAGACAGGTCAGAGGCGCAACAGTTCAGGGCAGAAAACCACGGGGCTCGATCCTGGATCCCCTTCCAAGTCCGCTTCGCCGTTCTTGTCCGTGCCGGCTCGACCCGTTGCGATCTTGTCCAGGCAAGACATCGGAAGCTGAGCAGCACCACCTGGAATGCCATTGCTCGCCTCGATCTGTCGCGATCCTCTCCAAGAAGACATCAGAATCATCGGATAAGGATGCCGAAACCAATGCATGCAAACACCATGCCACTCTGGAGAATCTACCTCGCCCTCAGCCGAATAGGACGAAGCCCGAAGTCGGCACTGTTTCCGAAAAGCCTGCCTCGTCCAACACGCGCATCGCGTCAGAAACTTTGGATTGAAAAGAGACGTGGAATGCATAACTGCATAACAGACAATTTCCAACCCAATTCTTGACATCATCTTCTTCAGCTGTTTACCTTGTTGGGGTGGCAATAAAATGGAAGCTAGCAATTGGTGGGCACAGACATGCATCCAACACTCTCTGTTGATGTACCCAACCTGCCCCCCTAGTCGCGCCTGAACCGTTCGACAACGGGTCTGAGGGTGTATATTTACCAACTCATCCACATCCATCTCCAGCATCATCCCTGCGACCTTTGGGATTCGCGACGTAGCCACCTCCAAGGCTGCAAGTTTTGATACGACACATGACCCTAACCATTGCTGGAGCCTTCAGCGAGGAATCCCACTCAAGCTCCCCATTCTCAATATTTGCTGATACTGGTATGTTATCATGGGCAAGATCATGCGTCTCCACCACGCAAGCTAACGCATCGTCATTTGCACAATCCTTGCCGGAAGACGTTAACCGTTCAAGCCAAGAGGTCGCACTATGCAAACGAGATCCGAACGCAAGATGATGAAGAGCTTGGCTTTGCTCTTCGGTAAGTGATTCGTGAGAAAACTCACACCTTGACTCGTACTTACAGAACTAGCATCCCGAACTGATGAACACCTTGATGCAAGACTTCTCGAAACTCCATGTTGCGCTGCCGATACATCCCTTCCACGTAAGCCACGATTCCAACCCACAGGTGTGCTTGCGACTCCAAACACTGCTGGATGGTTTCCCACTCCTCTCTGGTGGCAAGCACCCATTCATCATCGGTCTGCACTCCTGACGAGCTGGAGACAGGACCAGTGCTTCCCACCGATTGATTAACAAGCGCTAAAACCCCGACCTCGCCAGGTTACCCGAAACGGACTGACCGAACCTGCGCATGCAACAGAACCACGTCTTTGCAGCCGCCTCCATCACCCCAGGATTGGTGACGACGGTACCTTGCAAAGCCATGCTTTTTGCTGCTGCGAGCCCTTCCTTGACGCTCCTTACGCGAAGTTGCGACCACTGATGCTCCCAACCCCGAGCGCAGAAGCCGTTGATAGAGGTGACGCGTTCGGGACGGGTTCGGGTAGCTAGGCCTACTATCTACACCTCTAATCTCTAATCAGTTGAAGCCCCTGATGTTGCACCCATGTACACCCGCGTACCCAAACGCTTTTGCAGCTCTGAATAGCTCGCGTGCAAACCTCTTTCTGTATCACCGCCAAAGCGTTGGCCACACGCTTCAGCACCGGCGAAATCCGGGAAACACTGCTGAAGAAATGAATGAAGTCGGGTTTGCAGGCTCCCTACTGTCACTCAGTGGTTCCTCAACATGTTCTTGGATTGAGATAGACATCTCTTGAGCTAGCGCAACCGTATTAATTGTTTTCAGAAGATTCCTTGCACCCCGACTGCCACGCTCCAATAATGCACTGCCTATCTCAGCTGCAAACAAAGCTGATCACGATAAACATGCTGTGTATCGCCTGCGAAACTCGACAAAGGCACCCTCTGTCTTTTTGTTTGGTTTTGACGGCTGCGGAATGCCATTATCAAGACAGGGAATGGCAGCGGAGGGAACAGCAATACTGGCAAGCTGGCAACGTCGGTGCTGGCAAGCAACACTTTCGGCGACGACCCTAAACCACTGCTAAACCCATTTAGGTGCGAATCCTCTTGACGTCCAGAGTCTACAGCAACACGATTCGTTGAGATCTAAGGTTGCCTCTCTATGTACAGATGGTTGCATGTGCACGAATCTCCTTTTTGGCAACGTGCTCAGCAAGCTTCGTCGGCATGACGCCAATCCTCCACGAATGGTTCAACCACGCTCACAGGTTTGCGACTATGTCCCAGAACTAACCCAACCAATGAATCATGACTTTCCTCAAAAACGTAGGTGCTAGTACACTGGACGTGTGTCATGTCGGGTTCCAACAACTATCGCTCAACATGGCCGATGCTGGACCCTTTTTGTCTGACGCCATCCAAACACCCTGGGTCCACAAGCCAGGACGAGCGACGGAGTCGTTCCAGGATCAGCAGTAGAGCAGCTCTGAGCTTCAAGTTGGACGTGAA